CTTTCTACCATGGCATGAAATAATTTGAAGCGATCAAACACTTGATTCATACTCTTCAAACAGTAAGCCCATACCTTTCGTGATGCATCATCAATGAATGTCACGAAATATCTGTTTCCTCCAAGTGACTCCTCTTCAATGGGTCCACATACATCAGAGTGGACAAGACTGAATAACTTTGTATGGTTCTTCCTGGTAGAACTAAAAGAAACCCTGTGTTGTTTCCCAAATAGACAGTGCTCACATGGATCTAGGGCAACACCTTGGCCCATGGAAATGCTTTCCTTCTTAACAAGAGTTGTCAATCCCTTCACGCTCAAGTGGCCTAGCCTCCGGTGCCACAAGTTTGGTGATATCTTTTCTTCAACAACATTAAGACTTGGATGACACAACTTTGCATGAGTTTTATAAAGAGTACCACAAATATGGCCTCTTGCAACAACCAAGGAACCTTTAGATAACTTCCACATACCTTCTTTGAATCGGTTAAGATATCCTTGTTGATCCAGAGCTGTACCGGAGATAGGATTCAATCTAAGATCTGGAACGTGTCGAACATCTTTCAACACAAGTGCGCATCCGACATTGGTTGTTATGTGCATATCACTAATGCCAACAATCTTCGAGAAACTGGTGTTTCCCATCTTCACTCCTCCAAAGTCTCCGGACTTATAAGATGTGAATAAGTTCAAGTGTGGAGTGGCATGAAATGATGCGGCTATATCAATCACCCACTCAACATCATGAGTACCTAGGTGTAAACATTCTTGTTCACCATGTGTAACAAGACACACGTCTGATGACAAACTAATCATGGTCTCACCATCTTCTTGGCTAGTATTTTGACTTGTCTGTGGCTGCTCTCATAGAAACTTTCTACAATCTCTTTTTCTATGCCCATATTTACTACAGTAATTGCAATATCCTTCAAACCAAGTACTGTTTTCAAAGGACATACCTCTCTCTTGTGATCTTTCGCGAACTTTAGAGTTTCCTCTGTTTTGACCTTGGCCTCTACCTCGACCTCTACATCTTCCTCCATTTCTGCTTCCCCCCCGTCTGTTGGTTTCTGACACGAAGGCATATGATTGTTCAGTCTCGGGTCGGGACCAGGCGGGACCGAGACTAAAAATTGCAGGCCTGATACTGGCACGGGTTTGTACCGGATTGGGCCTAAAAAACGAGCCCGGAGCCCGCCCTTATAGCCACCAGACCAAGACCGGGTCGGGCCGACCCATCCCAATCCATTCCTAGACGCAGTTACCATTCTAAAGCTCCATTGTGAAATAAATAATATCACCCTAATCCATATAATTGCAAAGCTTTTAATTTACTACTAGTCTTTCACCCGTGCGTTGCACGAGACATAAACTAATTAAAAAATAAATAGAAATATATTGATATTTTTTTTGGCAAAAATTGAAATATATTGATTCAATCATGTGACTTACGATTGTGCGTATGATAAGTTGTAATGAGTTACTCATTGGAAAAATTGAAAATAAGAATCCCAACTATTTTCAGTATATGGTAATAATCCCAATCTTTATTTCAAGCTATTTACATTTTTTCAAGATTTTTTACAATTTCCATTATATCTCTTAAATTTATAATATTAATAACTTTTCATTAAAAATAGCCAAACCTCCAAAACCTATACCCCAGATCTTAAAGATTAAAACAATAAGCTATACCATACGGATTATAATTTATAGAATATAATAATATCAACCAAAGAAAGTAGAAAGAAATAAAAAACTACTCACATGGAAAATGAAAATTTTAGATTTTTAAATTAAGATAGCATTAAATATATGATAAAATATTTTTTTATGAAAAGAGCTAGAAAAAATCTCCAAATCCTAAATTCTTTAACCAACTTATACTTTTTGAAAAAAATTCAAATTTGAATAAAGGAAAATAACACAAAATCATAAATTAGTAACACAACTGAAGCAATAATATAAACTAATAAGCAACCTAAAATTAAAACCTAACCCGAAAAAAAAAACTAACCCGATTACTCGTTGTATGAGAAGTAGGCCAGTAGCTAAAGGCATGCTTTCAATAGGAAACATTACCTGACCTTTGAGAAAATGAAGGTTGCATAGAGTCATTGTGGATCATGCACTGCAGTAGTTTCTTTGATATATTGGACAAAGTAGGGATTCATTAGAACAAAATTTCTAAAAGTAGGTTCAAATGTTCAATGCTTTGCTGATCAGTAGAGTACTTTAGAAGGGGAGTGAGGTAGTTTAGATTTTTCATATAGCTTTCTCTATTTGCCGCAGTTAGTAAAACAATAAGACCAGTATAATAGCAAAACAAAAAGGGAAAGATAAAAGAACCGCTCCAAAAATGACCAGAATTGTTAATCTCCCGCTGCTGCAAAAAATGAAACAATTCTATCAATAAGTATATACGGAGTAATTGAGTATAATATATAAGCGAAAAATTTGGAAAATAATAAGTTATAGTACGAGAAAACTTTGTCTCCTGAACTGAGCATATAATGGTTTGCTAACCAATTGTTAATCTGATTGTTCAAGGAAAAGATGAATCAAAGGGGAAAATGGTATGATCTTTTTGTTACTTAGGACTATCCTCTCCCTTACCTCTCTAACCAAAAGCACCTCTATCTTTTATTGAATTACAAACCCAATTCATTTAATATAACTTCGAATGGATCAAAATGAAAAACTGGTTCTGTTAATTAACAATAAAAATAGCAGAAAATGAAATCAAGGGTCAAAAGTGGGTAATAATCAAGCGATGTCTTTTTTAAAACAAAATAGAAGACTTATAATCACACTACACTAATCTACCACCTCAACAAAATACCTATAACTCATATCTTACTAAAATTAATTTCCCTTTTAAGGGAAAGAGCGGTAAGCCTAAAAAAACAGAACACACAAAAAGAATACAGGAAATAGGCACCTAATCATTTACTACCTCCGTCCCCCTAAGTTTGGGACAAAGGGGTGTGGCGTGGTTTTTAAGAAAAAGTAGAATTGTGTGGTTGATATTGAATTGATAAAGTGTGAATAAAGTAAGAATGAATTCTAACCACTCAAATATTACCAAATATGGTATGAGACAAACTTAGTGGGACGGACGAAAAAGGTAAAACGGGACAAACTTAGGGGGACAGAGGGAGTACAATATTAGTCGTATACAACATATATGACTAATTGGTATACTTAGGGAATAAAAATGGAAATATAACACGTGAATATCTACATTCTTTTTCATATTGCATATTCGTTTATAAATTACATATTATGTTACTCTTTCACTTTCAAAAAAAATCTAAGATATATATTAAGATATAGACTGAACCTACCATGAGAATCTGCAACCCGTACAGACCCTTAAATTCCTAAAATGAACCTTAGCGTGGTCAGAAATAAGCATTAACAGAGTGGGTCTAACTGGGAGTTATAGCTTATCATACTTTTTTATGAGTTGCACTTTTTCATTTATGAAAAGGTGCAAACTTTTCATTAGACTGGGTCTAATGGATTGGTTCTCAAACTTACTGCTTTTTTATGAGTTGCACCTTTTCATTTATAAAAGAAAATAGGAAAAAAATATTTGAAAAACGGTATCTTTATTTAAAATATATGGATAACATAAGTTTTAAAAAATCTAGATAAAAAGAAATACGATGAATACACTATAAATTGCATCAAGATTTAGTTTGGGAAGTTCTATTCAGGGCTCCTTCATTTATTTCATAAGTTCATAAATTGTAGTCTGATTATCCCATAGCCCCTTAAGTAAAATAAGAGGAACCTTTCACTACATTCATCATTTTGTCATACTATATCAGCTGCATTCATCTATGGTTAACAAAAGTTTAAAAATTCTATAGAATAAGGAATACAGATTAAAATAAGAGGAACCTTTCACTCCATTCATCTTTGGTTAACAAAAGTTTAAAAATTCTATAGAATAAGGAATACAGATTAAATTCTATTAACCAAGAAAGAAATAGGTATCAAATGAATAAGCAAAAAATCCATCTAAATGAATAAACAGGTAAATTCCGGATCTATTTTCATATTTTTAGCCCTATCTAATATTATCCGTCCATAGATTACATAAACAGTAGGTTGCTAAAAAAATCGGAAATTTCCTTATGAAGAATAATGCAGAGTTATACCAATTGAGGGACCATGGTAACATCAATTAATACAAAAAGGAATTATAATAGATGTCCATCCTCATCCATGAGAACATCTCTACCATATATGGTAATAATATGGGTGGCATGAATTGCTTTTGCTAGGTATAATTCATTTGCACACAACTCTAACAAAAAGACAGTCTTGTCATCCATCTGCCAATCAACATTAGTTAGAACCATTGAGTTGCGGGTGTAACCGTGTAGATGGAAGAGGTTCGTGGGTCGAGGAGGCTTTTACAGAGTCGGGAACTTCTAAAATATAGAAAGTATAAAGCATAAGGATGAAAACATGCTGGGATAGGGACCGGTAAGAAGGATCAGATGAAGGCTCAAGAAATGGGAAGGTGATGCAGATTGAAGGAGGTTCGAGATGAAAAGATTGGCGGCGAGTTTGGCGACTTTAAGCTTAATTAGATTTGGAGAGCGAGTTTGGCGACTTTAAGCTTAATTAGATTTGGAGAGTTTGACAGCGAGTAGGCAAGGTTTTGTGAACTTATGCAAATATAGATAGTTCACTAAAAAAAAAAAAAAAAGATAGTTCACTTAATATAGATACATAGATATATAGATTTGTCATTGCACGACTTTCATTATTAACATATTTAATTGACTTTTACACTTTTCACACTCTACTTTGATATTATTTAATTGATTAAATAATTTTCTTATATGAAACAGTACTTATGTGACGCGTGTTGTATGATAGGAAATTGCCCATCCAAATATCCAATACCATTTTTTCATTTATTTGTAGTGATAATATTAGTTTATGCTATTAAGATTTTCTAAGGGTAACATAAAACAATGATTAAGTAAAATTTAGAATGACGCCATAGGATAGTGTTGATCCCCAACACTATAGCATATATAGAATAAAAACATTATGCATTCATAGTGGAAACATAAATCAAAGAAGGTATTTGATTAATTACAAGATAGTAAATCGTGATATTATAGCATCAACATCCTTTTTTTCAAGTATTGATTTACAAAATGAAGAGAAGGAACTACATTGGGTCAGGCATGTTACATCAGGCAGCAGAGGAGTCCTCCACAGACTGAGCACCTGCTCTTTTCTTCGCAAAATATTCTTCTGCTCTTGCAAGGTTCTTAGCAACCGATGGCTTTACCCACTTCTTTCGCCCTGGTAAAACCGTCAATGAACAACCGGCGGCCTCCAGCTTCTGCTTTGCAGATTCTGAAAATGCTCTAGCTTTAAACATTAGCTTCACACCCAGCTCACCATCGCCCAATATCTGGAAGTAAGGAATGCATGAGGAGATTTCACAGCAGAACAAACACAACTTGCACGCAAACATTGAGCACTCACTGAGCTATGAAACACTACATTAGCATTACAAAAATGAACAAAAAAGGTGTTTGCTTCATCTCTTTGTAACAAGTTATGACCAATTACCACTATTTCAGAAGTACTGATTGCCTCTACCTCCACGATGTTCTCACTATTAAAAACATCCTCCTCTCTATGGATAAGCATAAGTGGCTTTTATACCATGACTTCTGAGGGTTATCATTAGATGTTTAGTTTAAGACATCTATGACTTCTTATGGTTAATTATGAATGAATGTCACAAAGTCAAAAAAAATGAATGTCACAAAGTAAAAAAAATGAATGTCACAACGTCATAGTAGTTTGCAACATTTCTAAGACTTTGTTTATATATACTAGTATACATTATAAAATATTAATGCCACTCCGTTATCAGGGATTGACAGCACTGTGCACGTGTCTCATACTCTCATTAGAAGTTAGAACATCACAAAGATTCTGGGAGTGGGGGAGGGCTTAGGGGTGTTTGGATCTATTCTTAAAACTGCTTCTGCTCCTTGTTTTGGTAAGAGTAGAAGTTGGAGTGTTTGGGTAAGTGTAGAAGTACTTTTGATGCTCTATTTTACTACTAGTAGCAATTTTTTTTAAAAGTTGGGGAAGACCAAGTTCCGAAAACTGATTGTTATTCTGATTCTGCTTTAGAAAAGAAGCAGAAGCAAAATCAGTTCCAAACACCCCCTTAGTTAACCCTTTTCCAGATTCATTATAAATAAATATTTTAACTTAAGTACTTATCCATGAGATGATGTAAGGTAGAAACATTTAGATATCCCAAAGAATTCTTACTTTCCAATAGTTTCAAATGGGATGCATGCTTTTTCGTTTTCATCTTAGAGGGGCTTATGAAGAATGAATGACCCTGAGAAATGGAAGGCTATGCGATACAAATGTGGTCTCAAGGTAGTCAAAGTCGCAAGGCGCACTTAAGGCGCTCGAGTACTTGTATTGCCTGAGGCGCAAGGCGCAAGGCGCAAGGCGCAAGGCGCAAGGCGCAAAAAAGCGCTCGCCTGACTCGGGTGAAGCGCACTATTTAGAAAATATTATTTATACTATTCTAGAGTGATCCAATATGACATATTCAACATCATATTGAACTAAATGCATCAAAAAGTCATGTTTCTAAAAAAAAAGTCACGATTCACCAAAATAATGTCATGGTTCACAAAAACAATACACTGAGTGGGGCCTGTCTTTGTTGATTTTGCAATTTTAGCACTAGGAATAGCATAAATTATGTAGTGCATGAAACTATTAATTGAGTTAGATTATATGAAGTTTTTTATACAGTTGAAATACGAAATGATAGTATGATACTAGGAAGATATAGAGTTATAGACTGTGTAAAGATGAAATAATATGTAAACTGGTAGGTCAGGTAAAAGAACCATAAAGTAGGCATAAATGACTGGAACTGATAACAGTAAAGAAACAAGATATACTGAAAAAACTACAAGCTGAAAAAGAAAGAAGAAAGAACATGCGAAGATTATGATGAAGACACCTTATGGATTTTCTGGCTTCTGAGGGTTCGCTGAATGTTTTTTCAGCGATAAGCATGTTACGCAAGTAGCGCACATAGCAGGCACAGGAGATTAACGATAAAGTCAAGACTTTTCCCACGACTAAGAAGGGTTTAATATGGGTTTAAGATATTTTTACCTATTACTTGGACGGGCTACATCTTATTATCAGTATGGGCTTGTTACTTAAAGTAGGATCAAACAAAAAAATAGACTGATAAGCCTTTCCCAGCCCAGGCGGTTTAAGCGTGCGCTTTTCTCAACTTCGGCACTTCTGCGCAAAAACTGCGCTTCATACAGGGTGCTGCGTCTGGCCATTGTTCAGTCGCTTCTGTGTGGTCTTTTAATATTTTTACAACCATGTCATTTATGTCATTTGGAACGCGGGAAGGAATCAGAAGGGAATAGAATTTCAATTCTATGGAAAAAGAATGTGTAAAGAATCAAGAAAGATTTCAAATCCCTCACTTTGATTAAGAGGAATAAACAATTCCCATGGAAATGGCATGGACAAAGTTAGAGAAGGAAATAGCGAGAAAAGGAAAATAATTTCTAGTGCAACGAAATTATCAAAGAACCATTAGATACTTCAGCTTCAAGAATAGTAACCCAATCAAACATGTTCAGTATATCTCACACAAAAGTAGGGTTTGAAGAGGGTGGGGTATTTGCAGATCTTAGTCCTATAGGGATGGTGCTGAAGTATTGCACAGCTAGTCAGCTACTATAGAACTCACTTCCTACCAAATCACAGAACACGGTTTCCCGCAGAACAATGTTTAACTATATAAATGCTTTATTTCATGCATCTATCTAGTAATTTAAAACCAGGTATTTATCCTGCTAATGCAGGTAACAGAATATTTGATTATATATATATATATATATATATATATATATATATATCCATCCATCTCCTAGTTGCTTTTCTTTCTTTTGCTCCGACAATCTAGACTGAAATCCTTCAAAACTCAAAAGATTCTCAGATATTTAACACAACAACATCCAAGCTTAGTCCCAAAAGAGTTTGGGATCGGATAACATGAATCCACACATAAAATTAGAGCTAAAAGATAAGGTAAGATAAAAAGATAGAAAAAAGATAAATAAGATAAGATAAAGATAAGAATAATAAGATAAAAAGTATAAAAAATAAGATAAAAAGGATAAATGGATAAAGAACATATGCAAGATGAAAAGATAGAAGGATAAAAAAGATGAAAAAAGATCAACCCTCCAAAGGAATAATCTCCCTCCACTTTGCTCTCTCCAAAGTCATACTCTCATCCAACCCAACAAGAAGCTGGTCACTTTTGACTCCTATAGTCCACGTCCGTTTAGGTCTTCCTCTCCTCCTCCCTGCCTCTTCCCCCCACCTCTCAACTCGTCTAAGAGATGCACCACTCAGTCTTCTGCGCACATGACCAAACCACCACAATCGAGACTCTTGCGTCTTATCTTCAATAAGTGAGACTACGGTGACTCCCACCTTTTGTCTGAATGTCTCATTCCTCGGGCGGTTTTTTCTCCAAAATATTTAATGCACAAAACTAAATAAAAAAATAAATAAACTTGTCAATTACCTTTAGGGGTAATCTCCTTTCTCTTCCTGATGGGTTTATAATGCCCTTCTCTTTCAATGATTCCAGTGACACCTCTTCTCCTTCATGAAATCCAGCAGCTTCTATGTCTTTCAAGTTCACGGGAACATATTTTGGTAGTCCGGCACGCATGCCTTAGTCACATTGAGAAGACACCTTGTTAGTTTGTATTGAGAAAACTAAAGGCGCTGAGAAGGCATAATAAAAAGTTATGTTCCAAAAGCAGAACTATGCAATAAGCAAACAGGTGCATCACATTCTATTTTTCATTCTATTTAACGGATATGACTATCGATACAATTCAGCCTTAGACGGAGCAAATTTTCTTTTGCAAATAAATATCAAAATGAAACTGAAATTTTAACTTGCAGCATCCTAAGGTGCAATCACCTTAGACTTATATTAAGATATAATCCATTTGTATTTATATGTCTGTCTGGATTAAGGCGCGTGTCTGAATAAAGTAGTATTTGTATATGAAGCCGTTAACTTTGTGTTCTGAATAGACTGTCTGAATTGAGTAAAATAATCAATTTAGTATTATTCTTAAGTTATAATGCCAATGAGAAAATTCACTTATTAACATAAATATATTCCAATCGATTTAAAAAACTAACAAAAAAGACTTCTTAATAGATGTCATAATGGGGAAGTATCATATTCCATCTTGATTTCTTGATGATTAAGTCAGTTTATTTACTGAATGATTAAGTTGTGCTTTCAATTAAGTCACAAGTAAACATGACTTTATGGATGAACGATTAAGGGGTTGTTTACTTTTTTTCTATTAAGTCCTTCGGGATTAGGACGTCGATTAAGTGTTTTCTTTTTTAGAGAACAAACAATTTAAAATCTGGATTAAGTTATATTTGTATATGAGGCTATTTATTTTGTATGCTGAATAGACTGTCTGAATCAAGTAAAACAATCAACTTAGTATTATTCTCAGAATATAATGTCAATGAAAAACTTCATTTATTATTATAAATCTATTCCACAATCAATTTGAAAAAATTGACAGAAAAGAAGGTCTTAATGGGAAGGACTGCTATTTTCCATCTTAATGATTAAGTCAGTTTTTTTACTATATGATTAAGCCATGTTTCTAATTAAGACGTAAGTAAACATGACTTAATGGCTGGATGATTAAGTCGTCATTGTCATCAAGTCCATTAAATCGAAAGTAAACAACCCCTAAGTCATTATTGTCATCAAGTCCATTAAATCAAGTAAACAACCCCTAAAGCTAGTTTTAACTGTATTTAGTGCTTTAATGAAAAAATGAGTACAATACAGTATATGACCTGAAGATAAATGCTCTATTTACACCTTTTGAGTACAATACAGACATAATCTCTTAACTGACCACATTAACGTGTAGTCTGATGCAGCTGAACAATTGCGGAGAGTTTCATTCATTTTCAATAAAACAGATGCGATGGAAATGTAAAAGCGTGAACATGAAGTAATCTTGGAAATGTTGTAAGAAGTTACCTCCTGCAATGCCTTTGAGCTTGGGAAGTCTCCTATAGAGTGGCATTTGACCGCCTTCAAATCCCTTTCGCACTCCAGGCCCAGACCTCGATTTTTGACCTCTCATCCCAAATCCGCAGCTGCCTCCTTGCCCTGCTGAATGACCTCTACCCTTTCTCTTCCGGTTCTTTGTAGACCCAGGTTGCGGGCCCAAGTTATTGAGCCGGAACCGAGCTCCATTGGTATCTGCTGACATGGGAGCCTGGTTGAATACAGTGAATGATGTTCTTGAATTAGGCTTTTGTTTCATAAGTCTTACACCTGGAAACTGACATGGATTTTCTTTCAAAGTCCGCACACTTCCCTGAGAAATAATATAAAATAAACGAAATAAATAATTACGAGGGATTTTTCAAAGAATAATTAAAAAAAAAGTACCAAGTAGACAACTAAACATGCTTAATCATACCTGCTCTAGATAAGACCAAAATGAGTAGAGATAGCAACAGGGACAAAAGGTTGCTGGCAATATTTTATTCATTTAGGTAACCAACGAAGCTGGAATAAAATTTCCGATATATATTGAAAGTTCATACCAAAACTAAGCATCAGTATGGGACCTAAGTCACATACTTTGGAATAGGCACAAGTCGCATTACAAAATGAATCAGATGAAGAAATATCAATTAGAACATTGGAAGGTGGGTGAACAGAGACCGGATAGGTAGTTAGGTACAGATTTTGAAACAAACTATTAGGCTGGACAGAAACTTAAAGCTTATCCTATCATACAGTCATATAATATAAGAGTTGTACGACTTTGGAGCTGCTCTAACTCCAAATTGATGAGTGAATGCACAAAATTGAAAACACCATAGACCATAAAAATGTTCAATGAGACTACTCCAGCCAATTTACACACAGCAGAATCAATATAACTATATAAGCTAAAGCCAATGTAAAACAATTTCAACCCACGGAACCAGGAACTCCAGCAAAAATACATAGCCTATCGGTACACTTGTACTGAAAACAATAAAAACATATCTTTTTCATTGAATATACATAATATTCAATGAAAAATAAAAAAACACAGGGGAAAAAATTAAAAACCAAGACATAGGCAACCACAATTATAAGTAAGGGCTTACAGATTGAGTGTAAGGTCTTCCTTGATTTGAATTCTTACATGGCTCTAAAATTTAATCCATTGCAGAAATGGTTCGATGCATACGTACAAAAATGGTTTAGTTTGAATTATCTTACAGTATTATTTCTATCATATAGATGCTTGCTGGTACAAAAGCTACTTTTTATATAGAAAATGCCCAAATTATCTTGATAAGATCCATCTATCCCACTAAGCTTTTGACAACTTTTCTAATTTAGTTGTCAAAAAACTTTAATGACCTACTGGAAGTGAATAGATGTTCCGAATTAAGATGATACTTTTTTGCTTTTCCACTGTGGATATTTGTTATACAATACGCCGAAATGTATATACTTGTAAAAGAAGAGATAAAGTTCATACCTTGAATGAAGAGCAGAGTTGTTTTACAGAACTCGAAGTGGAGGAGATTGGCATGGTCAGGGAAAGGAGATTGGCCATGGCTGTGCGCAGAAGAAGAGATTACGAGAGCTTGCAATAGATAGGTGAGAAGTAATCTTTTGTTTCAGCCTATCTCTCCCTTTAGTTTTTTTTTTTGGGAAAAGTGCCAAATCACCCCCTCAAACTACCCTCATAGTGCAATCCACCACCTAATTTTAGCAACCAATATTTTTCCATCAGATATAGCAGGCTATAGATTCTATCATGAAAAGGCTAACAAAATTCACTGTTTAGGGGTGTTAAGGGGCGTTTGGAACTAATTCTGCTTCTGCTTCTTTTCTTTTTTAAAGAAGAAGCAGAATTAGTTTTCAGGGTACTCCCCAGCTTCTAACAAAACTGATTCTGAGAGTAAATTAGAGCACCAGAAGTGCTTCTGGAATTGCACCCAAACACTCCAACTTCTGTTTCTGCTCCTGAAAGAGCAGAATCAGTTTTGAGAATCAGACTCAAACACCCCTTATTAGCAAAAGAGGATGAGATGAAAATTTCAAATGAAGTACGGAGTATATTGCAATAAACAATTAAGGAGCATTTAGAATCTTTAACTTTATATTCGGGTTTTTTACAAGAATATTACTAAAATAAAACATATTTACATAAATATGACTATTCATTACTACAATGTGGTGTTGTGGTAACTTAAGATCAAAACTTGAACATGAATTACTATGATTTCATTACTACTCTAGTCAATAATCATACTTTTGTAAATCATCTTTATTTTGGTCATATTTATGTAATTATTTCTTTATATTCATGTAATAATTTGTAACACTTTTAATATCCCCAGAAATAACGTGAAAGCGACTAAGCACCTATTATAGATTTCATAGGTACATATAAAGAGTACTTATTTTTTTCCCCGAAAAAAATTGTGTTTTTTTAGTAATGCTGGTGATGAAATTATTGATGATGATAATTATGATATTAGTGCGTTAATAATTAGTATACATTTGTGAAAGCGTTAGCACCAATATACAAAAGGATTATATAACCGGATTTGCATAGTAATGTTCTCGGATTACCGTTTGTCTTGATCGGTGGAGCTCAATTTCGGTAAATAGCTTCCACACCAGAATTACAAGAACTAACACAAAACTAAACTGAGAAAAGGCTATGAAAACATAGATCTGGAAATAGATCGGCGAATTTTGAGGCAGCTACGTGACAAGAGTGCGACGGGGAGATTGAGGAGAGGTGGAATTTTCGAATGGATTAAATGGTTGGGCTAGGTTAGGTGGGTGTTTATAAGAGTTGGGAAAATGTAATTGGGCTCGGTTGGTTTAGTGTGATAATATTTTTGAGTATTAAAGTGAACTATTATATGTTTAAATCTTCTATATATAAATACTCAATCGTCTGGTACAACCTGTCCCAACATTGGACTTACATTGGACACATGTCACAGACTGATTGGTTAGCAATTGACAACTATTCAAAAAAAATCCATGTGGCCCATCCAGAAAAGTTGCAACACGCGCATGCATTTCCTAAAAACTCTCATGTCCATTACTTCTGGCGGTTACCATTACAGTTTTGTGGACATCACATGCACGTAATATAGTTCCAACAACCTTCCACTGTAAAAAAAACTGACCCACAGTGATGTTATAAATAGCCTTTGGCAAATGCATTTTCAATCTCTGCAAAATACTGATGTGTGTTCTATTCCCTGTTTTCTTTCTCAAGTTAGTAAATATTAATATTTCAATTTGTTCTTATCTGGTATTCTTTTATCTACTACATAGTATAATTTCACTCACATTTGATAATAAAATTGAAGGACACAGAGTCCTATTGTGACATGTGATATGAGATCAAAGCAGGTTTTGATTAGGAGCAGATTAAAGCACATTATGGGTTCGATTGAAGACACTACCTTAGGAGGGAAAAGAGGTGTGAAGATAGATGGAGAAACACTCAAAGGAATAGCAAAGAGAATTTCAAAGCAAACAGAGTGAAGGTTGAGAAAAGCTGAATGGAGGAGGGTCTACAACTTTGGCATTTCCCTGTTTGGTATTTTCCTATTTTTTAGGTTTGCTATTAGTGTTTACCTATGTGTGACCAGAAAAACAATGTGTATTTCCCTATTTAGTACTTGTTGTATATATTTAAGTGTAATGTTTGTCCTAAAGAGAATATTTAAGTGTACTTGCTGTTATGGATCTGGAATATATTGCTTCAAAACTATTCCTCCAAAATTTCACTTCTGAACAATGCTTAAAGAGAAAAACAGCATATGTATTGACTTGGAAATGAATGTTTTGGTAGAAATTAGAAATAAATTATAAGCACAAGACTGATTGATGGCATGTATATGTTGTGAAAAAAATAAAAAAGAAACCATACTTAGCTTTTGTCATATTTCCACAATATCTCTCTTTTTACTTGAACTTTTTTATGAGACTTTTTCAGTCACTTTTGTTCTAATTGTTATAACTTAGATACATATACTCCGTAATACCTTAGATACGTAATTCATTAAAATGAATAGATATGTTTATATCTAAAAAGGCATTCATGGTATCATTATTTAAATAGATATACCTTTTCTGAAACTTGACATTGAGTATTTATAAAATACAAATATATGATTTATATATTAGTACCATATGACCATATATACACAAAGACCAATTATAGAAAATAAGTTTTATAAGAAAATACACACCATACTTGCAATTATCATAATTCACGATATTTTGCCTTCTTTTCTTGAACTTTCTCTTTTCAACTCATTGTCAGCCACCTTTGTTATGGCAATTTATACCGTACACCCGGGTGTACGTACACCCGGTATATTTGTAATTATTTGTTGATTCTTCCGGCCGTGTGTTCTTCCCTGCTTGCCTGGGTAAGTGGACTACGCCTCTTTAGTCTAGCCGGCCAACTTAATTCTTCGTAACTTCTAAGTGGACTGCGTGAGTGGAGGGAGCACTACCTCTCTTTTCTTTTGCCTTTTACATAGATTTTTTTGTTTCTTTTTCCTTTTTTTTTCAAGTCCTTTTCCCTTTTTTTAACCACCTTATTCATTGATTTCAAATTTTCAATTTCTGATGAATATTTAAAGTATTATTTTATTATTTTTCTTTATTAATTTAAGAAGAATATTTATTAGTTTATTAAATATTAATTCGTATGTGCTAATTACTAACATGAGTTTCGTGTTATACTAAAATGAGTATAGTGTAAAATAAATATGTTTTTCATTATGATGCATGTGCAAAAGTGAACATTTAAGCACATTAGAGAATTCAAATGAGTTTTTGAACTTTTTTATGCTCATTTTATAAGTTACGCATGTTCATCTGAAACTGGTTTTGTGCTCATTTCATAATGTCATATTAATGTATATTTCAAAAGTTTCATATTAGATTCACATGGGGGCATAGATCATGATACTAAATTCCATGCTTCTAATACTCAATAGAAGAGGTTTGATGTTTAATGAAAATGTCTTGATGCTCAAATAACAAAGTTTATGATTTTCATATTATTACTCATTTGGTACATTTTGTGTGCTCATTTGGTACTTGATTTATGCTCATTTTAAAATGTTAATTATATCAATGCATACTAGATTGAGCACATGCCTTGATACTCGATTACATGTTTCTAATATTCAAGGAAGAGATTTGATGCTCAATGAAAATGTCTTGATCCTCAATTAAAAAAACTTATGATTTTCATATCAATGCTCATTTTGTAAGTTACATATGCTCAATTTATACTCATATATGCTCATTTTTAGAATGTCATATCAATGTATATTTCAAATGTACTATATTACATTATATTCACATATTGAAGTTTCACAGGAGTTGATTATAGATATAATTTAATAATTATTATAAAAGAAAAAATAAGAAAAAGAAAGTGAATATAAGATATGAAGCAGAGATCTCGATGCTCAATATCAGATTCTTAATACTCAACAAAATTGGTCAGATGCTCAGTAAAAGTTCATTAATGCTCATTTAATAGAAACCATGAATGTCATGATTTTCAACTAATAAACTTTACAGTTTTCATATCAATACACATTGTGTAAGTCACATAATCTCATTTTGTATTGATTTTATGCTCATATGTAAAAGGTCATATCAATGCATATTTAAAAAGTGTCATATTACATTACATTCGCATGTCACGATTTCTGGTGAATGAGCGTTGATGCAATTTTAATGAGCATCAAACCTATTATGTTGAGTATTAGGAGTCTAATTATTTTGAGATATGCATTGATAAAACATTTTAAATTGAGCATAACACCAATACAAAATGAGCATACATTACTTACCATGTCACGCCCCGGACCTCCCCGGACACGTCAACAACCCGCCGTACAATACGAATAGTCAACCGCAGTCCAACACATTCATATTATACAAGGCGTCATGAATATCATTCACACATAAGTCATCCATAAACATACATAATAAACAATTGAATACGCAGCGGAAAACATTGTTTAAAACAAAAGGGCCACACAGGGCAAACATGAGCACGCAGGCTCTAAAGTAAAATATCCATGAGCAAGTTTAATATTATTTAAAAACAGAATGGAGGAAGCACGAACCAAGTCTTCTCTCCAAGGAATCACTCGATCAACGAGCACAGGAAGCAAGCTCTAGCCTCAACCTGAAATTGTGGTGGGACGCCCCCGAAGGGGTCAGTACTCTATACGGCTATAAAGTACTGGTGTGGCAGGCATCTAATAGATATACAACAAGTATTTCAAACACAAGACCCTCAAGTAGGGTGATAGTACATTATGATTGTAACCCTAAGTTACCCCGTTTAAAAATATACTTACTTTATATAAAAGTCAAGTAGTCGGCCCGTGGGCCCGTTTTCATTTGGAAATCACCATTCCCAACCCCGTGGCTATAAGCCACGACAACTCCTAGAGTCCAACCCTAGTACATGACATTGTATTCTAGAGCTCGGCTCTACCACATCACCATACAATTCATATACCTCGGGTCAATTTCCTTACCTTGCGTTCTAGAGCTCGGCTCTACCACATCACCACGCAAGTCCTAGAGCTCGGCTCTAGCTATACAATACATAGACTCCAAGTCTACCCTTACATGCATTCTAGAGCTCGGCTCTATCACATCACCATGCATTAAGGTCCAATTCTCAAGCAACCCTATGCCTAGAATTGACATATCATTAAACTACCATGGGTCATCCTTAAAGACTTCCCATAACTTAACCTTAGTTCCATACTAAGTTATTATATACACTTGAACTATATTCAAGCACCTTTCATACAATCCAATCCCTAGGATCAATTTAATCAATAAATCCCAATAATCATTAACTAGTATTTCAATACTATTAAGATTATTGCTATCAAACCATTATCCTTGTTATTTGTAATTCTCTACATATTTATAATTATGTAGCAGCAACTTAAACATTCATTCTCAATACACAAATATTCATTTATGTATCCACATAATTCATACATGAGAAAAATGCCCATTTTCACAAATAGTTCATTTATACTCATTTAATCTCATATTATTCATACCTTCTCAAATCATTTCAAATTTCATTCTTTGGCAACTATATCAATATTTCATCAATATATAATCATCATAATCCATGAAAAATCATGATTTAAGCATTTAGGTAATCTCATGCTTAACCTACAAGTTGTAAGCAATTAGATGTCAATCCTCACCTCAATTGAGCTTTAAACTTTCCCTTCTTGGTCCAATGGTCAAAGCTTTGGTCAAGGTGGATTTGGAACTGATTCCTTGCTCAAATATGAGTGTTAAACAGCCTCCTCAAAGTGCTAGTTCAACCCTTAATCGTTGATACGAAAACAGCCCCTAGAACGGGTGTTTCCCGGTCAATTCGTTTCCTAGTTTTTCCAAGATTTGTTCTAGGTTAGTATCTAACCTTTACATCAATAAAATAACTTTATAAGGACATATTATACACTTGGATTAGTGTATGATAGTCCCACCAATCGTTCATATCATTTGGAAAATGAAAAGTAAAGTTTTGGGGTTAAAACTCACTTTTAGAAGATTAAATCCTCTCCTGCGAGGTTGTGTTTTGCTCGGACGATTTGGAAGCCTTCCACAACTCCGATTCCTGCAAACCAGACCTTCACGGATTCCTCGTCCTGAGAGCTTTCTGTGGGTATCTCACACGCCTTAATTGGATTTGTAAAACTCGAGATATCGACCAAACAGTCTCAGCACTCTCACAGCTCGAGTTCACAGACCTCTGCTCGTTCCAGATCGATTTTTGTAAGATAAGCCTTCTCTCCTCGAA